CTTTCCTGATGGTCAGGCACAATGTATAGGAACTGGAGTTGATGTTTTCCTAAAGTTTGGTAGACTTCCTATCTCATGAAATGTCGACCGAAAATCTGAAGTGTGTTTTCACTTCGAGCAACGTACCCAGGTGGGGTTGTACGACTGATTAATGTATAGCCTTATCTCAAAATATTTCTGTCAGGTCGGGATGACGGCTTTTGGGCGAGCTTCTTCCGTTCTGCCGACAAAATGTATTAATTGTAAAAAAATAGCTACGCAAGACCTTTGCGTTCTTATAGTTGATTACCACTGCCCACATATAGTCAATTACACTTGATAGAAAACATTCAACATATAGTCTGTTTCATACGAGCTTGTTATAAGACTCGTCCTTCTTTAGAGACCACACTTGAAAAAGGGGTATCTTTCGATTTAAATAAATTCAATTAACGAGATTGTTTTAACACGGCGAGGTGTTCATTCATGCTAAAATGTATGCGTTAATTCATTGATGTAGCCTTCGAACTAAACAACGTGATCCACGTCCCTTGCAAAACTGCATGAGGACCGTGTGAAGGCCTCTGCATAGCGTAGTTAAATTTGGTGATTATATTTCGACAGAATATATCAAGCATGGAGCTTGGGGCCCTTGAAGTAGGGTGTACTGGCGGATAGGGTTCAGAATTATGCGGAACTTCCAAAGGTTTGTTATAACGAATGTATTGTTTCTTTTATTCAAAAAGACATAATCTCCTACCAAAAAAGAGCAAGAAAAAATATGTTGATGGATAAGTTTTATAAAATCTGTTTACGTATACACGAAAAGTAAACATCGATGAGAAACCTTTTTTCATCTTAAATTGCCATTTATACCTAGAACATTATGCGGACACACTGAGTCAGCATCCTGACGCGAGTGAACTCTTTTGAGATATGCTAAGCAGTATTAGAATCCTACTTAATTTCTTCGTAATTTCTTCGAATCCAAGACACATCTTTAAAATGTGGGCTGCTACTTCAGGAGGAAGGGAATTTACTGCATATAGGCGAACATTCTGTGGTGTGTCACTTATTTGAACGTTTATCAAGAACTGAAAGTCATCAGAAAAGCATTCCAAGGCTCTGATTGTGGCCTGCTGTCAGTGCGTAAAAACGTTGGGCTTTTTTATCTGTAGCTTAGGACTTCATTTCTCCAGGTAAAGATGATACGCGCATTTGATAAACTTTGCTCGGAAAAGGTCTAAAAAGTAAATACTAAGCCTCGCTTTCTGAGGAAGGAAGTGTTTCGGACTGAAAGATTAGAAATCATGCCATTGACCGCACTTACTCAAAGGTAACGAATAACGTCCGGGAAAATTACAAACAGTGGAAACTGTATAAAGGCGCTTTGATAAGTAATTCATATTTGCCGACTAGAAGGCAAGTCATTTTACCTGACATCGTCTTCGCAAACCTAGGCGCGATAGTGAAATGAGGTATGTTAACGATGAGCTGGGTTTTCTAATGGAATATGAAATTCCTTTAAAGTATGCTCATATATGCCTAGGCAGCAGTCTTTGGAGGCCCTTTCTATGGCATATGTCCATTCAGTTGAAAAAAATATCGCCTACAGATTTATTGTGCGCCGATAGAGATGTTACCAGTAGCTTCTTTGTGGCCTGCGAGGCCCTTAATTTTGTACCAGAGGAGCAGTATGCATTATTGACGAGTTTGAAGAGGTGAAAAATCAGGGAACAAATGTAAAGCAACATAATTTACCGGTTTCACAGTTCCGTTCTTATCCACTCCTACCATCGTGTCGTTGAGGTCAACTATGACCTGATCGAGTCTCGTAGGTTCTTTAAGGTCGAGAAACACACGGCCAGGCAGGTTATCACCCTGATTCACTTTGTTGTCATGGAATTCGATGCGTACTTCATTCACGTATTTTGCAAGTGGATCATTAGGGTCTGGTCTATAGACGCCATTATATTCCCAGGGTGCGGTATCGGCGGTCCGATATACTACAAAAATAAAACAATGACTTACTATTTCACCAAATGGCAAGATACATTTGTGCAAAACAGGAAGTCTCTTGCATTTGGACTAAAAAAGTGCACCCCTTCGATAAATAGGAAATATTGGCATTTCCTGAGCTAAACTCAAGTGCACAGTCAGGTTTAAAACAGTAAATGAAGTGCGTTTGGTATTTAATATTTACTTTCATGATTGCCATTGGCAGCCAGAAGTGCATCAGCGCCAATTGTGTCAACTCTAAACAACTGTGTATTACTCCAGAGATTTTTTAAACCTAATTTAAAGTAATAAGCCAAATCATAAAAGGCGTGTCAAATGTGAATCCAACAGGCATATTTATTTTGATGGCATGGAATACGCAATTGAAAGTCATTTTTTTATTTGCCATAACTTTTTAGTCAATTAGTAGATCATTTTAAGGTACTGAAAGTTAATCCTACGTAAGTTCTTAGAGAAGACGACAAAAACTTTTCTCCTAGATACAGACAGAGCATATTTATTCGGCGGAATTGTGAAAAAATTAAGGGCCACCGAGTTTTTCACAATTGGCTCAAATTAATTATTGAAATCTCCAAAAGCTCTCTATTAATGAAGGCACATCCCTGAAATATTCCATTTTGGTTCTGCGTTGTAACACGTGCACGCAAACACCAACTGAAAACGATACAAAGGTGCAAAATATATTACCGTCTGTTGGTGGAGCGCTCTGAAATGAAAAATATGAGAAGAAATTATAAAGAATCCTACAGCATCGTGGCTGATCTGACTAATATTATCTATATAACTGTAGTTGCGTGACTCTGCGTATCAAAGAGTACCAGTTTGTATTAATAGGTTTGCTGCTCTGAATGATGACTTTTTGCAGGGAAACAGAGAAAGGGATTCGATTAAGACAAATACGAATGTTCAGTTGACCCAATTGTAAAAAATAGCGGCCTTTCTATGAGTCGAACCCGCACAGAAGGGAAGGCTTTTGTGCAGCCAATGCTGCACCATTGAGCTACGTGGCTCACCATGAATTTAATCCTAAGTAGATCTGCTTTACCCGCCCAATTATGGAATTCACTATTACGGAACAGTAAGCTGACTGCCCAGGCAAGATTTCTTAAGCAACTTACACACCTAACGTACGGCTGCGTGGATTCGAACCCCACCGCGGCCGCGAGTTTTGCACAACTGGGTCAACTGAACTGAGCAAACATGTCAACACC